CTCCCTCCCTTGGATCCAAGCCGAACAACAGTCAATTGGTTTGCCAATTATTTTTGCTACCTTGAAAAAAGGGAGTAGTATTTTAAGTTTTGAGAGTCAGCTCTTTATCTACTCAAATTTTGTGGTGCAGATATGAAAACAAGCATGTGACATTGAACTTGCATATCTGAAGTTCAGTATTTGCAAATAGTGGGTTTGTCATCATTATCTGCTAATGTTGGACTTAAGCATTTCAAATGCTGATGATATATTTCGAAACACTGAGGAGTATTTCAAGTAGAGTAATGGTTTTCGCTCACGAGACTTCTGACTTTCAAGTGATTTCTGTCTGAAGTCTGAACTCACTTTCAACTTTCAACTTTCAACTTTCAACTTTCATCTTTCAACTTTCATCTCTTTCGAACTTTAACTGTAAATGCTCTTTTCTTTTCCTAATTCAATCGAACATTTTCCAAATTCCTATTTACATGAACCCATGAAGAAGGTACTTGTTGAAAAATTGAAAAACAAACTGCAGACCAGATTGCTTCTTAAAAATTTATGAGACTTGACCTAAAGTAGATCTTCAATCTAAAAGTATATAAATATACTTCTACAGCTCAGGGACCTGGTCTCTGTTAGAGATTGATATTTTGAACCTTCTTGTGTGAGTGAGTCATCCAATTTCTTCAACAGATTTTTGCTCTCTTTTCTTCTCAAGTTGATTGTTCTTCACGAAGTGTTTAATGATTTGTATATTAAGGATAGCAAAGTCAAATATATCTAATGCTATGGCTTGAAGGAGATGTTTAGAGATGAGAAACATGTTTTGGTTATGCATCTCGTTTGTTTTCATGTCTCTTTAAGTCCTGCGTCCTGACATGTGAATTTTGTTGAAATATGCTTATGGAGAAAAACCTTAAATAAATCTGAAAAGTGTTATGGTACGGCAAAAGGACGTGTTACTCATGTGATGGTATAAGTTGCTCAATTGGGGGAACTGCCTTGATAATTCCACAAAGGACCATCTGCCTTGGAGCCTTATGTGCACCTTGTCTCTCTTATCTTTGCTATGCAGTGATATCTTTCATTATTATGATTAACAGTGTTCAAGTCAGTGTAGACTAACTTATATCTCATGTTGGATTATTTTCCTTTAAGGTCTTAAAGAGTTTTATGTTTTTCTTTCCCTATAATGAAATATGAATTTATGTGTGCATATTAAAATGTTTTCAGGTGTATGATGTAACTCCGTTCATGGATGATCATCCAGGTGGTGATGAAGTTTTGCTTTCAGCAACTGGTAATACTTGGTTTTCTTCACTTACTGTTTGTTCTTTGGGTATTAAGTGTCGATGGTTTTTGTGTGGCATGAATTCTGATCTTTGTTCTGTTACCAAAAGGGAAAGATGCGACAAATGACTTTGAAGATGTTGGCCACAGTGATTCTGCTAGAGAGATGATGGATAAGTATTACATTGGGGAAATCGACATGTCAACAGTTCCCCTAAAACGTGCTTATATTCCATCGGAACAAACTGCATACAATCCAGACAAGACTCCAGAATTCATTATCAAAATCCTACAGTTCCTTTTACCCATCTTGATCTTGGGCTTGGCCTTAACAGTACGACACTACACCAAGGAGCAGTAATTCTTCTGAATTCCAGTCTGTCAGGCCCTCTTTTCTTGATTTATGTAGTTGAAAGAACACTTGGTTAATCTTGTTTTAGTTCATTATCGAGCTGCAACAACTGAATGTGGTCGTCAATTTTGTACTGTGCTTCATAATTGCTATGTTCGATGCCTCTTGGCAGCACTAGACTTGACTTGGTTCGTGTTTATTAGATATTTGAGAATATTTATCCTTCATGTTTTGAATTTTGTGTTTTCTTCTGGTTTGTACTGGTTAATTTTGTTGCAACCAACCTTACTAAATTTCGGGGCAGCTATTAGTCTGTTAGTCATTGCAACCAACCAGCACTTGGAGATGACTAGTCTTGCGCTTGCCTGCCCCGCTTTTACCTACACTGGATATAGAATTCTGCTGCTTTCGCTTCTCAGGACTTTTTATTAGTACTAACTTGTTGGCTTGTTCCATTATTCATATATATACATTAATGGGAAAGAAGAGAGTTCGGCTACCTCATGCATTACCATATTATTACTGATATCCATTATTTCTATCACGTGAAATAAGAGAATATTACTGTTTTAGTCATATTTATATGACAGGGAAAAGGAAAATTTCTGAAATTTATGGTCTCACCTTTTCTTTTTGTAACTATAAATTATTTCGATTTGGGTTGGATGTTATTTTATTAAATCAAAAAAATAAAAACATATCCCTACTTATGCGTCCTACTTAGTAGACTTCTGGTCTGTAGTTTCAAGTATTACTAGGATAGCAAATGCTTTGTGGTAACTGGTAGTCCAATGTCCACTGTCGTCTGTCCGAGTAACGGAGTTTTAAGCCCAAACTGTTTTCTCTTTACCCTTCCAACACACCTCATTTTCACTTCTACTCCGCAGCCCCCTTCACCACATCTCATAGTATTTGTCTAACTTATTCACAAATGCTTTTAGGATGATAATTTTTGCAAAAAGTAAGTAAGAAACTCAAATGTTTTCCTAAAAAACATATTTCAAGTAAACCTTTTCCATAAATGCATTTTTCTTCATACTGAACACACCCTTTGTTCACAATAGGGACAAGACAACTGCTATGATTAGAGAAGTTACTACGACCAAACATGCCTCTACTCCTCTTTGATCAACAAACGTTACAGTGACCGTCTGTGCCCCAACTTGTTCTCTGATCATTAGTAATGTGCCACAGAACTGCCAGGAACTAGTTTATGACGGAGCACTATCTTTCTGGAGATTGTGAATGACAGATTGTAAAACAACAATTTTGTGAAATTTGCAATATCTCGCAGAACTGTGGCGTGGAAACAGCGCTTCAATAGTTCAGAAGAGCATAAATATTCTGCAGTTGCATTCGAACTTGACATGTCATAGTAAAAACATCATTTAAGGTTGTAATGCGTATAGCTATTGCTTTGATGATAAAGTTACAAACCAACCACAGTGCGTGGAAAGGTATGCTATTCTATCATCCACAATCCCATCTCCATTTTCAAAGAGAACATTCTAAAAGAAACCCCATTTGCCTTGGGGAGGTTGGGGCAACAGGAGATAAATACTCCAAATAAAAAGCCACCTTAGGAGAGCATTAACAAGAGAACTAAGTTAAAAAATTCAATATCAAGCATGGTACACCAATCAGGCTTCCAGCGAATTGCTACACTGAATTCAAGCAATTTGCAAGTCTGTATGTAGGAGATAAGTCACATAAGTTATTTCCCAAGTGCAGCCTCTTTTTGACATTTGCATGTTTCTTTAGCAAAAGAAAAGCAGCGGCAGTACTTGACCATAAGCTGTCTTCAGGTAGAGCAGTTGTTCCTGTGTACCAGAGATGCATGCAGTGTTTGGTAGCACCATCCCACAAAATAACGTTCGAGCAGCAAAGAGAATAAATTAGTGTAAAACCTGGATAGCACCATAACAAAGATGTCTACATCTTGTCATGGAGAGTAACCACCAAGTCATGGGCATCATCTAGAAGCTTCCATACATCCAGTTGACCAGCCATGCTCTGACACTCCCTTAAAATTTCATCCATACTACTATACTTCTCTATGATCTGTTTCCTCCGTTGCAATACAGATGCTGCAATTGCATAAAGCAAGAGATCATCTGTTGGTGGGGCACGCAGCCTAATCCTACTCCAGGGAGACTTGCCAATCCCAGCCCTAATAGCAGCCTGGTCTGCCCACATTACTTCCCATAGGCAGAGCGTTTGCTCAAAAGATAATTCCCGCCTGAAAAGAACTACCACCATTCTGTACACAAAAAAGCAATCCTCTGCTTGGAGCTTCTCCAAGTGTCGATACAGATGTGAATCCTTTTGTTTGATGATCTTAGAAATAATGTTCAGCTGCCTCCTGATTCCAACCTCATCAAGCCTGAAGTTATGCCGAGCCTTCGTCATGAAACCAACAAAGCACCAAAAAGCTTCATGGTCCTCTGTCATTACAGAAATTATGGGTGACAGCAAATCGCTCATCCCCTGGCAATAACCAATTTCAGGGTCATATAGCGCATAGGCTTCAAGAATGGAGACTAGCCGAGCAGCATGTAGGATCCTAGGGGGCTCTAGGTGTTCATAGTCCTTCAACCCAACAGCCTCTGCAAAACGGTGTGCCCTGCTTTCTGATACTACAGCTTGAGATGGGGAGTATGCTATCCATTCGGCGTTAGCACGAACCGCATCAAGCCGAATTATTCGTTGCCATGTAGCAAAATCTTCTGCATTGCAGGGCCGTGACTGGACTTCTGCCTTTGAAGGAGAAGAGTCCTCCTTAGAGTTCACTTCAGCAGTATTCTCATCCATGCTTTCTGCCGAGGGGACAGTTTGACTGATATCAGGATCTGCAGAGGAATCTGAGTCTGATGACTCGGAATCAGAGACATCATTTGGCTCCGTCACTCGTTTGGAACTGGAAAATTCATCTGACATTGTACCACCGGGATTATCAGAATCCTCGACATATGTGCTCCTGTCCTCACTGGAGAGAGATTCCCGGGCAGTAACAACATCGTCATAATCAGGGGAATCAATCCCTTCAGTGATATTTCCTTCACCATCGCTTCCCATTCCACCAGTTTCCCTCATTTTAAAGGTCCCATTGCGTTTCAGCAGTCTGTGACATTCTCTACGATAGCTCTCATATTCCTTCCTGCAATCACAGATTAACTACAGTGGTAAGAAGTATGAATCATGCAGCAAAAAGGTAATTGGAACAAATATTAACACAAGGATAACTATGACCTATCAACTGAATACACACGAACCCTCTACATTTTTACAAGATAAATATAAAGAGACTTTCTTTTATCTCAATACTTTTTTGGGGCAAGGGAGGGCCAATTATCTGGTTATAATACCTCTTCTGATTTCTTATACAATCTCTTTCTTCTTTAGAGCTGTTCAACTCGTAGCTGCAGAGAGACATAAAGTAGGTCAATTTAACTGTAACCACAGCATTTACTGTACAGAAATAACGAAAAACAGCAATTGCAGAACATTTTTTGACAAATGTAACAATGTTTTCATTGTCACAGAACTTGACACATATATGATAAAACCAAACTATCTACAAAAGTATTTGGTTTTTATCTGGACAACCTTGTATGAATCATTGTACAGTAGCAGCTGATATTTGGAGTGTGCTTTGTCAGTTTTTGGAATTGACTGGGTCATGCCAAACAATATCAAGGAAGCTTATGAGAGCTGGAGATATTTTCATGGAGAATTGGGATATCCATCAAAAAGTCTTGGGCAATGGTGCCTGGTTCTATTTTTTGGTGCATCTGGAATGAAAAGAACCGTAGATGTTTTGATGGGATTTCAACTCCTAACCATACTCTTAAAGCAAAATGTTTATATAACTTATTTAGTTGGTTTAATCAGACGCCTGCTGTAACTAGTACTGAACTTTTTCTGGACTTCGCCTGCTCCTTTGTTGTTCCGTAAGTTTTTGTACAGGTGCAGACACTTCTTTTTTTTTTGCAACTTTTGCTATGCATCTTCTTGATGCCTTTTAATGAAATACCCTTGCTACATAAAAATAAAAAATAAAACAAACTTGCAACGAAGTAATCACACTGATGCAGAAGCCTGGAACTGCTCTCAAGGCTTTGGGTGAGGGATGCATTAATTAAAGAGTAAATGACAAATCATACAAATTTATTGCCAATGAACGTATTTCGTTTTATTTAGACTTCAGAAACAACTATTAAGGTAAATGTTGCAATTTATTGTGTATATTTTAATAAAGAAAGTCCAAACAGTAGAGATAGATTTTTTCAACAATTTGGACTTTATCTTTGTTGGTTTACCATCTGGTGTCCGTAACACATTCACGCTGTAAAAAGCTCATTGTATGGGGTTTTAGCAATCCCTACCAAAGAGGATTCCATTCCCATTTTCGAGCCCTGGTTATGGTAAAAGTGGGTTGAACTTTTAACAGTAGAGATAAAGCTGACTTTCAAACATCTTCTTAGTATTAGAATATAGAATAAGTGTTGAAAAGTGCAAGGAAAAAAGTAACCCTTCTAGGGAAATAGACAGGTGAGGTCCAGCAAAAATATGACATTCTTCACCAAGATGTTCCAAATTGTTTTTGCAGTTTATACATTAATTTTCACTAATAAGCACTTTTTTGGCAAGAGCTTAGACTTTGGTCTAAAATTTATGTGCCTTTTAAAACACCTTCTCAATCTATCGAAGCAAACTATTAAGTTCATGTTTACTCGGTTAACTAAATACTAAACAAAATTTGAAATATAACTGCAGCAAACAAACACGTGATGATATTCTGATATATTATTTTCCAAATTATACGAAATTTTAAGGTAGTACTTTTCCTGTAAATACTGTACCCTAATACTTGCGTAAACACTACTGCACTCACCATGACTTCTTCACTCATGTTAATTTGACTTATTTCTTTTTTTCAACCTCCTTTGAAATATTTTTCATTGAGCTGAGGGTCAATCGGAAACAGTCTCTCTACCTACCAAGTAGGGGTAAGGTCTATGTATACTCTATACCCTCCCCAGACCCCACTTGTGATTACACTGGGTATGTTGTTGTAAACACTACTGCACTCCCATTGGGAACTTTAAAAAAAAAAACCTAAAAACAATGCCCATCTGTCACTTCAAAAGGTGTGTACATCTACATGGTAAGGGTAAAAGGATCCAGGGCGTAGATTGTCACCAAATGAAATACTCTTAGCACTCCAAGAAC